GTGTGTGCAGATAATTTAGGAAATACAAGATGTGTTTGGGGTTTTTTTTACCTCGAATTTCTGTTGAGTGCTAAAAGATACATTTTATTATTAAAACGGAAAAGGAGATTAAATTTTTGTTGACGCACGTGTTAACGACCTGTTCGTGTGAACTGCTTGTCCGATAGTGAGAATGCTACGTGTTTGTGTGTGTAGAGGAGAAAAGTGGGTTCGATTCACATTGGTTTAGATTGAGTGAATTAATGATAATTATAACTGTTATAATTGTTTTATTATAATTATTTTTGACACTATAATTCATTTTTATTCATTTTTATGGACACGACACCGTGACAGTATAATAATTTTTTTATTTATGTATTTATGGACACAAGAGATTAAATAAATCCAGTGATAAGACGTATCCGTGTCTTACAACCCTTTTTGTCTTTGTGTACTGGCTCAATTCATTTTCGATCTGTACAAAAATGGTTTACACCCAGTAAATGATACATGTTATTTCAATATCTTTCCCATATAAATAAAGTTTTCCCAGTAATTCAAATAGATCTTAATGTCGTATCTTATCAAAGTTTTTTCTCGCCTGAATCCATACTTCAAATCTATAAATCAACCATTCGTCCTTGTAAGGAATAATCCTGCCAAGTATGGTCTGGAGCCTCCACTGTTCGTCTCGAGGTCTTCGACAGAATCCAGAGATAGATATGCAATGTCATGGGTCCTGATCTGGCATCTCGTCTACAGCCACTTTTTCACAGACGTGCCATGGCTCCCCCCCTGTCTTTTCTACAAGTATTTTCACGGCAACTGATTCGCTGGTTCCCAAGTTGCATGGATTTAAGCGTGCCACTAGGTTGGCATCTCGGTCCCACCCTTTTACTGTCGAAACGATTAGGTACAGCCGTCTCTTCTATTCCAACAGGTTCTTATCTTGCACTTCCCGTCTGTGCAACTCCTTTCCTCTTACTTGCTTCCCTGATAGTTATAACCTTCAAATATTCAAATGTAATGTCAATCGACATCTTCTGATGCCTTGATCCTAATTCCCATCCTTCTTTTTATCCTTTCCTCAAACACGCCTCTTTACTCTTGCTCTCACTCATTGTAACCCCTTGCATGCTAGTGACACTCCCGCCTTGATTGGTGTAAAATGCTTAAAAAAAAAAAATGCGTATGCTGTGAAATAAAGTAAAAGAGGTAGACGTCTTTTCTAATCACCTGTGATCCAAGTCTTGACTGCTTACCCAGCATTGACAATTACTTCAGCTAGTTTGATTTATTTGTCTGTTTCTTTTATCCCACAAGTGTAATATTTGGAGCCCAAAACGCACCTGCGTTTTGCTCGGTATTGAACGGTAGGGAAAGGTGATATCCTGATGTCTTCAACCACACTTTCTGCTTCGTTTATTATCTTTAAACACATCACTACTGCACACAGACAGCACCTGCAATAATAAAAACAACTAAAAGGAACATTCTACTATTTTAATGATTTGCCAGTTCTAAGATATTTCAACATTTTCAGCTGCTTGACAGCAAAAAGACACCGTTGGACACACCGGTGTTTCTTTGAAATCATGAAATTCTTTTAACTTCCGCATCTGTTTGACGTCACCATTTTTTTTTTTTTTAATATTGTTTTCTTGGCTTAAATCTTACCCAGAACAAGGAAACCATTAAATAAAGATCTATCTCGCTCTATCGGTTGGGGCTTCAGAATACGCTGACTGCACCTCTGCAGAGAGGTAGGACCCCCACCAAATGTGGTGAGACGATAAACTGAGTGACGGAACTAATTTCAACTCGGAATTAATTTCACATCGGAATTAATTTCAACTCGGAACTAATTTCAACTCGGAATTAATTTCACTTCGGAATTAATTTCAACTCGGAATTAATTTCACCTCTGAATTAATTTCACATCGGAATTAATTTCAACTCGGAATTAATTTCACATCGGAATTAATTTCAACTGGAATTAATTTCAACTCGATTTAAAAACCCTAACCCTTAGTTCCGAGTTGAAATTAATTCTGCATCCCGATAAACTACATACAACAGTAAGGCTTCTGGTCAGAAAGTTTTGAGGAGCTTGGACCACCTCTTAATTGCTAGTGTTCTCAGGCCCACTCTGACCCGGGTTAGTAGCAGCTGTTAGAGTACCAGCTATGGGCAAATAGTTAACCTCCAAACTGGGGTCAAAACACTATGAAAGTGTAAAAATAGATTTTAATACCATCAATACATTTTTGTAAAAAATTATTACCAGCAATGAATTTTTGAAGAAAAAAGTATTACCAGTAATATATTTTTTAAAATAAATTACCAACAATACATTTTTGAAGGAAAAGAAATATTACCAACAATACATTTTTGAAAGAAAAAATATTACCAACAATTCATTTTTGAAGAAAATTGAAGAAAAATATATTATCAGCAATACATTTTTGAAGAAAAAAGATATTTCCAGCAACATATTTTTGGGAAAAAATATTAGAAGCAATACATTTTTGAAAAAAAAATATCAGCAATAAAAAAATCTTGTCGGCATTAAATAACCCATTGAGGTTGATATACCGTAAGCCAAATCAAACCAATATATACTGAGATAGATAGATAAAAAAAAATATTATCAGCAATAAAAAATCTTGTCGACATTAAATAACCTATTGAGGTTGATATGCCGTAAGACAAATCAAACCAATATATACTGAGATAGATAGATAAAAAAAATATTATCAGCAATAAAAAATCTTGTCAGCATTAAATAACCCATTGAGGTGTTGATATGCCGTAAAACAAACAAAAGCAAAAGATGTATCAAAACCATCCTTCAGTCTCATTACGGATTCTTGGGTACGAAATACAAATGTCGGTACGATGAATCTAATTCCTTCAATTTCGATACCAGCACAATGTTTATTTGGTGCGAACTGCTTATTATTTTTAAAATAATCTTCGAGGTCCGATTATTTCCTTGCAGTGTATCAAACTTATACTCTGTAGAACACTCAGTTGTGAGACAAGCTGAGTGACTGGACATATTCATTATTGTAAAAATACAACAAATGTGGCACAAAGCCAAAAAGGGGGTTGGGATAAAGGACGGTCATCACTTGTCTTAGTATAAAACTTAGCTAGACACAACCACTGACCCTATCATACAAAACAATATTCCTTTCACCAAAACAACACATTTATCCATACCTTTCTTACTACATCCACCAAAATACCTTTTTGACTCAATGAAAATCCTAAATAGTCCCCTTATGTACAAATATTGTCGGGGGGGGGGCATAAAACAACAATTTTTAAAAAGATCCTCAATGAGTATATACAATATGACATAATATATTTACAAGAAACTAAATAAAAAGATGTTAGTAATAAAACCCCCCACAAACCTTAAATGTGGCAGAAATATCAGTTAACCGGACGAAATCGATGCTGGACTATGAAAATAAAGGACACATTCATTCCTCCCAAGCATTCATACAGGCACACACACATTCATACACAACAACAAATACGAAAAACACACACGCGAAACGAAAGGCGCCCGCATCCACCGGAGAACTGACATCACTGACCACCTAAACGAGGGAGGGGATGGGGAGTTAAACTAAAGGAAAAAAAAGAGGGGACAGAAATAAAAGGGGCCAATGAGCAAACACACCCTAGCTAAGTTTACTAAAAAGAAGAGAAACTAAAAATCAAAAAGCAAGACCTACACTAACCTAATCTCGGGATGGGTTGACCATGTTCAACCCAGGAAAACAATATCCTTATGCCTAACCGGCATCAAAATGCCACTCAAGGTCAGCCCCTTTTACTCGGCACATACGCGCAAGATTCACCCACCTTTTGCCAAATTCTGATGAGGTGAGACGCCGCCTTTCCGTCCTAATCTTGACTTTAAGCTGATGCTTAAAGAACAAGATCAGTTGGTAAGAAGTGAACTCTCGCCCTCATAGAATTCCTTCTGACGCGTCGTCCAAATCACGATTCTCATAACCCCTAGTAAGCAACAGAACACATAGTGTTCAGCCTTCGCTATCTGCGGCACCACATTGCTACAAACAGAACTGGCTTCAAGGACAAAAAACTTTCCCTGCAGCATGCGTACCATGAGGCCTTCAACAAACCTGCACAACGGCCTTACCGCTCTGCACTGAAAGAAGGCGTGACCAATGGTCTCGACTTCCCCCGCACAGCGACGACAGTTTGGATATTTCTCCAAGCCTGCTGAACAAAGTCTCTTGCCGACCCAGAGGGCTCCGCGAATCACCAGCCAGGGGAGTGATGCCTCATCATTATTGAGGCATTTCAACCCAGGCGCCCAAGGCCATATTGAGCGAGTCTCCTGCTTCTAAGACTGAGCTCGCCAATTAGATCATCTTGAACGGCCCCCTCTAACTAACAGTTGATACAATGCCTTGCGAGACAACGCCTGGGCGTTGGAGAGGCCATCCAAAGCCCGAAAGAGGAGCTTCAGAGCACGACGACATTCGCTGTAGAAGGAGCACTCGGCTCGGGGTTTACGGCCGGCCTCTTCCTCGCACGAGCGCACACTTCTCAGGGATGGGAAATGTTTACGGACGTCTTCTTTCAAGAAGGCGCCGACCTCATCCGATCCGCGACATATTCGGTCTAGAAAGGTGATACGAAAGCTGAGTGACTGGACACTCCACCTTGAGAAAGAGAGCTATTTATGATGCCATGGAGCATCTCATTGTGCTCAAGTGGGATAGTCCATTGCTTGGGCTGTGATTGGCTGCTGGTACATGAGTAGAGGTATTTCTGTATAAATACCAGCTTGATTCCAGTCAGTTTGCAGGGTTTGTATTAAGTTACAACCTGCTTTATTTTTGTCTGCCAGCTGGACGCTAGCTGGGACCCTTACGCCGGTAAGTACATCAAGCCAGGTTAATACATAGATGGGTGACCGCTTGGGAATACCAAGTGCTGTAAGCTTGGATGTGGAAGTGGTATGGATTATAGTCATATCACGTTGAAACATCGGTTCTCGTTCGATCACCAAAGTTAAGCAACGTCGAGCCTGGTCAATATATAGATGGGTGAGAGATTGGAAATATCAGGTGCTGTAAGCTTGGATGTGCTTCTTCTGGACATCGGTGATCATGGCTCTCCACAACTTTGTCCTTTGTAGTTATTTGTTTGTCTTTTGTTATCTCTCTTAGTCTCTGTTTTTACCATCTATTTACCCAAGCTCGCTAGGGAGGTTATACAGTATTTTCCTTCTGTCCCTCTTGCCTTCAATCTGTCCTGTGAGTATCACATTTTCCAAGCCCCCTTTCCTCATTATGCGTCTTAGAAATTTTTAATCTCTATTCCTGATGTTAATTATAAGTATCCTTTTAGTTTCCATTTTCTCTAAAACTTCGCCTTTGCTCTTAGAAACCTATAATTATTCCCGGCTTTTTTCAGAAACCTATAATTTGAGAATTTTCAGAATCCTATAATTATTACTGGCCTTTTTCAGACACCTGTAATTCTGGAATTTCTAGAAACCTATAATTATTCCAGGCCGTTTTCAGATACCTATAATTCTGGAATACTTAGAAACCTATAATTATTTCCGGCCTTTTTCAGAAACCTATAATTTGGGAAATTTTTAGAAACCTATAATTATTCCCGGGCTTTTTCAGACACCTATAATTCTGGAATTTGTAGAAACCTATAATTATACCTGGCCGTTTTCAGATACCTATAATTTGGGAATTTTTAGAAACCTATAATTATTACGGGACTTTTCCAGAAACCTATAATTCTGGAATTTCTAGAAACCTATAATTATTTCCGGCCGTTTTCAGAAACCTATAATTTGGGAAATTTTTAGAAACCTATAATTATTCCCGGGCTTTTTCAGACACCTATAATTCTGGAATTTCTAGAAACCTATAATTATTCCAGGCCTTTTGCAGATACCTATAATTCTGGAATATTTAGAAACCTATAATTATTTCCGGCCTTTTTCAGAAACCTATAATTCTAGAAATATTAGAAACCTATAATTATTACCGGACTTTCTGTTAATCTATAATTAACACAGTTTTTTTAATACATAATTTTTTAAATTTATAATTTTTTTCCAGATTTTATTTAAAAATCTTCAATGAACACCGAGTTTATTTTATGAACCTATAATTAACTCCAGGTTTTTGTTATAATTTTTGTTATTACCAAAGGACTTTTACGGTGGTTATCAATGGGTTAAACTAAACCGGGAGCATTAATTTGTAGTACTGGTTTCTTTTTTCTTTTTTTTTTTAGCTGATGTTTCTGGCCTTTCAATATGGGATTTAAAAATGCTCCCCCGGTATTTTTTTAAAGTATTTTTCTAAATATATAAGTGCCTATATATTTCACTTGCGTTATCTTCGTGGATAAACAAAGCACTTAAAGACGAGGAAATGAAAAGTGTCATACCAGTGTCTCATGTCTAGGATAAGATTATACTTGCCAGCTGAACATATTTAAAATATACGTAATCGGGACAGTCGTGTGGTACACGAAAATGTGACTCAGAAATCTGAAGACGCACTGGAATAACGAAATTGCCTTCCAGAACCTAAGCAGAGTATTAAGATATATGAAATTTTTCAATCTGGCGCAGAAAGTAACGGTAGCCTACTGTGGGAATTCTTCTGACATGTCAATCGTGAATCGAAAAAGACATGATCGTCCAAATATGCATAACGCATGACACCTTAAGAAAGAATTATATATATATATATTTTTATATATATATATTTATATATATATGTGTGTGTGTGTGTGTATGTATTTAGGCAGCAATCCTTCTTTCATGCACATTTCATTGAATACTACAAAGTACTTTGATTTAGTTTTTTATACAATTTCTCATGTGATCTAATATAGTTTTTCTTTTCAGATGATAAATTATATAAAAACTGTCCTTAATAACCTCATAGTTAAAAAATGATAATTCACCTCTTAGAACAAAATTAAATAGGACAAATATTATTTACGAATTTAAATGCCCATTAAGGAATTGTATTTCTTACCAATCAAAATTCGTAAATAGGCCATACTACAACATGTTTGACACGCAGACTCACTCTACAGCTTTCTGACCATAGCTCAATAAGATCTCATTTAAATATTCATGGAGACCTACAGGACCCTATTCGTAACATATTGTTAACAACACAAATCTAATAGCATCATCTACATGCAAAAAAAAAACAACAACAAAAAAAAACGCTAAAAATAATGTCAGCCTCATTATTAAAAACAAAAAAAAATACTCAATAATATCAACTATGAACATGGACATATATGTTGACCATGTTTTGAAAATGAAAACATTATATAAATACATATTTACAACAAACTATTTCTTATTAGCAGTTAATATATTTCAGCTTTGAAAATTGCTAAATGTATAGCCGAAAGCGCTTGGATAAAAATCAGATAGTTTTTATATAATTTATCATCTGAAAAGAAAAAAATATTAGATCACATGAGAAATTGCATAAAAAAGTAAATCAAAGCACCTTGTCTGTTGTATTCAATGAAATGTCCATAAATATATATATGGACATTTCACAATTCAGTCGCATTTGATCTAGCGAGACAAGCTTTCTTACCATTACCGTTACCACGTTGAGGTGCCCAAGATGTGAGATATATGGGTAACATATGGGGTCCGTAAACAGCTTAGATATATGGGTAATCATCTGAGATATACTGATAGCATATAACAACTACATCTTGATAAATATATACTGAAGTAACATTATGTCCATAAATAGCTACTTGTCTATCTGAATATATGGATTCATATATAACAGTAATTTAGCATATATCCCCCACAGACTTGTGTGTGTGTATATATATATATATATATATATATATATATATATATATATATATATATATGAGCGTGTGTGTGTGTGTGACGTAACGCATTATGAAATGAACAAAGTCCGACAATTATTTTAAGACATTTTATGTTTATACATTCTTTTTATAGATACAAATATTTAAGTAAATGCTCTGTTTATAATAAACAATATTAAACAACATTTACCGGCCTGAATGTCCGAGAAATTTTCACAGAAAATCCTGTCGGAGGAGGAATATATATATATATATATATATATATATATATATATATATATATATATATATATATATATATATATATATATATATATATATATATATATAAAAGTGAACATTGAAGTCAACAATCAGGGCGACAGGCTTTTTCATGCTGGACGCAATCGTCAGGCCGTTGCGTCCAGCATGAAACAGCCTGTCGCCTCTGAGTGTTAACTTCAATGTTCACTTTTATATTTATATTTACATACGCTCTATCTCTGATATTAAGCACTTTATCTCATAAATATACTACACCTTAAAACTATATGTATATATATATATATATATATATATATATATATATATATATATATATTAAGACATGTCTCACTGAATAATTTAGACAAGTTTTGTCTACTTATTTTTTAGTAGGATCCGCTCATATTCACGGACAAGCTTCTTAGTATCCTTATTAAAGGAAGAGAGAAAATTACTATGTTGATACATATTCATTTATTCCGAGTACTTTCGACATTAGCACAATTTTATCATCAGCGTGTTGTTTTTTTTCTAAGACAAAATTGTTGTGTTCATCTGAAAGTTATTTTTTATTAACTGCGAAGTGAAAAACGATAAGGTTATGGACGGTGTGGTTTGAATTTCATGATGTAAACATCAGGGAGGTAACTAATTTTGAAATGTCCATATGTTTAAAAAAAACTATTTTTCCACTAACATGAAATAGAGTGAATATATGGAATCGATAGCTGCATCTACTGCAAGGAAAGTTGGATCACTGTGCCGTACCAGAAGATTTTTCTTGTCCGGCTTCATTTTGCACATTTACAAATCTACTATTCGTCCGCGCATTGAATACTATTGCCATATCTGGCTTGGTGCCCCTACTGTACATCTCGAGATTCATGACAGCATCCAAAAAAGGATCTGCAATGTAATCGATCCTGACAAGGTATCTCGACTTTAGTCACTTTCTCACCGACGAAACGTGACTTTCTTATAGTTTTCTACAAATATTTTCATGGCAAATGTTCTGACATGCACTTTTCCCTGCTGCTCCGACTATATGAATTTAAGCATGCTACTAAATTGGCACCTAGGTCCCAACCTTTTATTGTCGAAATAGCTAAACACAACAGCCACTTCTATTCCCACAGTTCTTTTCTCGCACCGTGGAACTCATTTCCATTTCCTTCCTTAACTACAACCATCAAACGTTTAAATGCAACATCAGTCGCCATTTTCTATCTTCTTGAATCCCCTTCATCTTCTGTCCTTTTTCTCAATCCTCCCTATTCTAAATCTTCACTTTTACTTTCATTCCCTGTAACTCATTGCATACTTGTGGCATTCTAGCTTTGCTTGGGGTGAAATGATAAAAAAAAGGCATTTGAAATTTTCATATTTTTAAAATAACGGCTAATCTGTACTTATTTAAGAAATTGGTAGGTGAAGTTGTATAATATAGGCATTTCTGTCAGAAATAATCGTTTTTTCCCATAAGCACTCCAGATCACTAATATTAATATTTTTTAATTGATAAAATTTTATAAAAGTAAATAGGAGTCTACTTTGCTATGTAAATTCACTGCGAATTGATCCCCTGACGGAAGCCAAGGCAAAATATGCTCATACGACGTCATTTCTTAAAATGTAAAAAAGAAAAATTTTGTAATTCGTAATTCTTTTTTCATATTACTATCGATAACCATCCCCTTTTTCATTAGCTTCTAAGATTTAATAAAAACAAATTAATATTCGTGACCTGAAGTGCTTACAAGTGTGCTGCGAAATATTTTCATGGCCTATGTGTGTGTATGAGGGGGTGGGGTGGAGTTGTAATGGCACAGCGTTTGTATTTGAATAACTGAAGTATTAAGTCGTTTTTTCAAATAATCCTTTTCATTATTCTTCGATTATGTTATTGATATTTATTGTTATACAATTATGGCACATATATATATATATATATATATATATATATATATATATATATATAT